TGGTTCAATATGATTTAGATTATAGAATACGAGTATTCCTTAAAAAAATGTAACATGCATGATTTTTTCAATTCAAGTTTCTACCACAGTACGCAACAGAATTTGATAATATATATACCATTGAATAGAGGAAGTCTTTGTTCACAAACCTACATATATTCCATTCTATAGTCAAAAATTACACTGAAATTTATAGTCGCCTTTTCTCATAAGCCGTTTTTAAAAACCGCCATAAAAGTAAGAGGGATGTTAGCCGTAGGTGAGGTAGCTATATCTGATTGGTTGAAATGTTTCACACATATCCATATGGTACTGCGTTCGAATTTAGAGGCCATCAGATATAGAACGACCATGAACAAGTCACTAACGGCGACTAGTCTCGCATCACCCGTCCAATAACAAACTGTCTGCGGAGTTAGCACACAAAAAATGGCCTCTGTGAGTGGTATGTGGTCAGTAAGTATATACAGGAAGCTTACCTAATTAAGTACAAACTTATGAGTAAAGCTGACCTTCTGTTTCGGGCAACAGCTAGTAATAATTGTAGGAAAAATATCAGTATACAGAAAATATCCTGGGAAAGCATTCTATACCACAAGATAGCTGAAATATAGGATATTCTCCTTATTCCTAAGGGAGTTCCTCTCCCTTTTTGTGGTTCCTCGAAAATGAGTTGATGAAAGTTTTTGCAATATTCAGAGTAGAGAGATATCAATGACTAGAATAAAAGATGATATAGACTCGAAATTCTGGTGTGTATATCAAAGTGCATTTTTGTCTTCGATTTAGCAGACTACGAATCATCATAATAGATTTTGTTATTAAATTGGAAACACAAGTCGAGAACAACAGATTCCGCTGGTGCCGGAAGCTCAAAGACGTGCACAATGAATATGAGGGACAAGTTCGAGCGAAATCCAACATTTTTCTGAGAGTTTAAAAATATTCATGTATTGCAATACAAAAAAACCGGGGTAGAACAACTGCGATTCCCTAAACAATTAATCACGGTTTATCGATGGTTTTCGAGTGATTTGCGACATGGACATGTATTTCAAGAATGTCCTCATGCTACGTTTTGGTTAAAAAATCATTTTTTACCATTAAGTTATATTCTATTTAAAAACGAAGTGGTAATTTTTTTTTACTTTCGTTCGTACTTGATTTTATCTGTCAATTATTATTCTAGAATCTATCGGAAGACCAGTTTCATGATATTCTGAAAATCGTAGATGATTCAAGTAACCTGCCTGCAATTATATTTAAAGATAACAAACAGATTCGATCTGTCTCATATTTGAAAGTTGGTAACTAGTTCATCATATGATTTAAGTTTAGTTAGAGAAGATATATAGGTAATAATATCTACATAAATTCACAGTAGAACTGACTTTGTATTAACTTGTTGTTTTTTCTCTTTTTCAAAACCATGCGATTTTTGTTGTCTAAAGTTTACTGCGTTTTTGTGGAAATCACATATATTTTCGAAGAAGTTAGTGAGTGTAAGTTTTAAGTTCAAGCTTCACAGCTTCTCCTACCCTTTTCATTACAGACACTTCCATTACAGACTTTAGCAACCAGCATTAAATAATGGATATATTTAACAGTTTTATTTGCCATTTAACTCAATGCTTATAATATTAAAAATATTAAACTAAGAAAAAATAATTATGAAAATGAAAAATAACGAGCGAATGGCAACAATGAAGAAAAAAAAGTAAGGATACCCGGCAGAAAATAAAAAAAATTCTTGATTTTAAACGTTCTGTACTTCGGATTAATACAACGAAGCTGAAGAAGATTTGTAAGTTCCATAGTTCAGTCTCAAAAGGGCTGTGCTAACAAGCTTTTTTTTTTATTTAAGACTTACTCAAAACTAATTTGAGTTGGATACAATAGAATCTAAAGGAGTTTTCAGGATATGTTGAGACAATAGTGAAAAGATTATGATAAAACTTTCAGTACATTATTACGATGCGTTTTCGGAAGATATTCGTCCAATAAGGATCAAAGCTAACTTATTAGTCTATTACAAATTCGGTTTAGGGATTTCTTTTCTATATTTGATTATTTTCTTATGTTTGAACGATCATACGAAACTGCGGAATCTGATGTAGCTCTTTTTATAAATTCTTAACTTTTAAGCGAAGAAAAAAATAACAAGTATAGAACCATAAAAACTACTAACGCAAATAAATTGCTTCCACTATATTTTTAGGTATTCTAATTGATTTAAGTGAACCCTACACCCCATTCACAAATCGTAATAGAATATTATGAAATTTCCAAAACTTTTTTCAAAAATCAAACCGGTTCATTTAGGATTTTAGTACCTAAAAACCCCATTTCTGATTAAAATATCATTTGTTTTTAACTTAAAATCATTTTCTTTTCGTGTTATAAAATATTTTTCTCATAGGAAAAATCCCGATTTTCCGACACTTCTTTCCTGAGCACACATCGCTGAACATCAGAACAATTTCTTAAAGATTCTTGATGTTCTGGCGTGATATTAGTAAAAAACTATTCAGGAATAGAAAATTAACTTTGGAAAAAGCGACATAGATTTTCATACTAGAAGGCTATTGCCTTTTATTCTTGAGGAAAGGAGAGTTATGAATTATTTCCTTTCTTACTTTAGTGAATCAAAATAATAAATTGCTAACAATCACTAGTAATTCATCTTCAACAATAAGTGGATTTTCAATATGAAAGACTTCTAAAGGCCTCACTCACGATAGATGCATCACTTTTAATGGTCTATTTGAGTTGAAATTTTCACAAATTTGTGATCCTAATGAAAAACATCTGTGGCAACAATTTTGGCCCTATACATCAAATTGGAGCGAATTTTCGGCTTTTAATAGTTCTTTCGTGTCCTTTAGGAAAATTAAAATAAATTTGCCACTACAATAGATAAAAGGCTCGGTGTAGTCTCAAATAAAAGTCAATATCTGTGTGCAATTTTTGTTCGAATTGAATTTTGAAGTTGGCTTTCATTCTTTTTTTGATGATCACTTTAGTACGTATGATGTTAAAATAAGCAAATAAAAACTGTCACTTTACGACACGAAATCTCGCTTTTCTCAACGCAGAAATAAACTATAAAAAGTTTGGTCAAATAAAGATTTGCACCTGTTTACATCTTCAAAACACAAGAAAAAGAATTTTGGTTATATCTTGAACTGGATAGAAGGAGTTACAATTTTTCTGATAGAAAGCCATGTGCTAAGAAAACTGGTAAAATAAATTTACGCATGCGCTTTTTCATTTAAATCCAGAAGAAAAATGAAAATCGAATATTCATCATATATTTAAGTGAAACTTTGAAAATCACGTAACAGATTACATAAGCTAATGTCGTCTGCCATGCTTAAATTATATAAAAATGTTCATTCAAGGCTGATGCAAACAAAAAGTCAACCTTTCCAAAACGAAAAGACTTTGTAAAAAAAAAACAACACGAAAATTTCTGAGAAAACACGGTAGTAGGATCAAAATTTCTTTTTGAAAGAGGAAATTTCGCTGCATCTTCCTATGATAATAACTTAATTTCGATATTTTTCGAAAAAATGAACTTTTCGCGGAGTTGCCTTAGTGAAAAGACTTCACTTCTCCTTTCTAATTCAACAAACATTCAATCACATTAAATATCGTTTTCAAATAATTCTCAATCATTCTTTGTTTGATCTATAGGCAAGACAAGCTGTTAGTATAATCTCTGTGAAATTAAAATGTGAAACACAATAGAGCTGCTGACATTTTAAAAAAGAGGGCTAGTCCATATATGTTTCAGCTTATGAATTCCTACTTATTATTAATGCATGCCAACAATGAAAGATATTAATTGCAATACATTGCAGTGAGTGCGAAAACAAAAGTCACGGACAACTATCATACTAATCCCGTAGTGGACTTCGGTCTTACGGTTATGTCTGTCATGTCTATGACGAGAAAGAGAGCACAATGTGCATCTAAGCGCATATTTGACTAAAAATGAAAATCAAACTTTGACAAGATTTAAATGCAGGAAAATGTACTTTGAAATATAGTCTATGGAACGATATACATAACTTTGTTAGTTTTCAAAGAAGTTGAAAAAGAGTCGTTGTCTGAAAATCATAATGTCACTGAGAAAATTCATATTTGACAAAATTAAACTGTTCAACAACAGATTCACGTACATTTTCTGAATCTCCAAATCAAGATCCTTACCATGGTAAAAAAATAATTTTGAATTTTGAATGTTTTGTTTCGAAAAAAAAAATAATAATTTTTTCTAGTTTCATTCAAACGGATAATCCCATAACATGATTAATTCACTAATATCCAATCTGTAAGCTTTTGCGAATTTTGCCAGAATGTTGTTCTCTCTATTGCCTCTAATTCTTGTTAACGCAAACATTCCTGGACTAAACAGTAGATTTTTCAAGATTTGAAAAAATATTTAATTTGACAAAAATAATATGTTCGAAATGAGCTTATTAAACTGCATCAAATGATATACAACACAAAATAGCTTCGAAGAAAAAAAATTCTGTGAAAAAACGGGACAAATGTTCCCCTTAAGGATTTTTCGGTCGAAAAATGTTTTTCTTCGAAAATTTTTTTTCTTAAAAATGCTTTTAAAATGCACATTGTAGGCAGAATGCAAATTTTATCTGATCTACTTCAAAATACTTCTTTTAAATTTTGTTTTACAAAATTAAAATAAAATCAATGAATATTTGATGATAATAGTATGTTAGTAGTATTTGTTACAATTCGTCATTCAGATATACGTATCTGCTCATAATGGAGATTGTTTTCTAATAGAATAAATTCTATCACTAACTGATAGACAAGCATAATTTTCAGTAAAATATTCACGTATTTCAAACTTTTACAAATAAAACGTACGTATAATTAATAAAAACACATCTTTTATTATTACAAATAAATCTTTTTCAGTGCTAGGATACGAAATAACATCTATACTGGATTATGAACTATAATAGTGTTTATGAAAAATTGACTTTTTTATTATCGCCTTCAAGTGTTGATGCATTACCAAACGCAGCTTTAACATAGCCAACAACACGGACCACAAATGATGATGCTGAATCCCAATATTCAGCTCCATCTATGATTACTCTTAGTAAGCCTAAATTAGGATCATCAAGTTCTTGTGGAAACCTACAACAAAGAGAAAGGATAACAAATTTTCAAATATACTATTTGAATTTACCAAGCTTTTAAATATGGATTCCATAATTCTTTAGCTTTGTCTTTATCTTGAACAACTTCAGCATGACCACGTATACTTACAAAAGCTACATTATTTGGATTACTAAATGATACATTAACCTGTGTATGTTTTTTAATTTCAGATACTTTTGGTGAATCTTTCCGTGTGATGAACCTAAAAAAATGATAAATAAAATTTATTTTTAGTGTTCCTTAATGACTTCTATTTAACTAACCATAGTTCATTTTTTGTATCACTATCACACGGTTTATATGCCATTGGACGTGATCGAAGACTGCCATCTTCATCTGTTGTTGTCAACATTGCAAATTGTATGTCTTTTATTAAATTTAAGACATGTTCCTAATCATAAGACATAGCAATTCGAGCAATAAAAAAAAAACTATGAGTTAGGACCAGAAATTTGTCCACTTTTCGAATATGGACTTAGAGAATTTGTCTCGTCTTTTTTTGAGAGTACTGCAATAATTTTGGAAAAGTCAAAAAGAATTAATGTAGGCGAAAACTTTTTGCATTTTTCCTAGGATGGCTCCAAACTAAAAGTTAGCATTTTTACTCATATATCAACTTGTAGATCACAGGCTACCCTAAAAAAATGCACAGTTTGTTCGTGTCTTTTGATAAGGCACTTCAATTTTCATTTTTCATGTGCGTAAAAGCCACAGTTTAGTTTAATATTACATTTGGTACAAAATTGTTCGTTCTAAAAAAATACCAATTCTGAAAATTTTTAGTCTGTTCGAAAAAGGAACCTATAGAGCAAACAAAAAACCTGTCGGCTCATCATTTTCAAGGTCTTTCAAAAAGTTCCTCACTGCTCTCAAACAAAATTTCTAAGCTCATGTTCGAAAAGAGCACAAACTCATAGGTTTTAACTTGGTGGAAATACGTCAAAAGTGAACAAACATCTTGTCTAAAAATCTTTCCATCATCTGTGAGTATTATTTAATGAGAGTGATTCAACATACTTGATCTTTAGTTTGAGTTGAATTGGATGACGACATATTGGTAACGAATTAAAAATGCGTTTATGATACGTTAATGATGAAATGAATATAAGTTATATGTTTATATATAAAGATCAGAAAGGACAAATGCATTTGTGTTGAAAGAATAATATCGAATATATTGTACTGGATTATGTCACGTGTTACAAACCAATGGCAAAGATAATAGTAAAAGAACGAGAAAAAAACAGAAATAATCGAGTGGCAAGGTCTTTCGGTGCAGTTTTCTTTTCTCTTTCATTCTATACAAAGCTTCGAAATACAATGAATGAAAAAAGAATTATTTTAAGAACCTTGAGCATACCCTTTTTTTTTTTTATAGAATTTATTCAAATCAAATCTATCAAAGTCTGTTTTGAAATGATTCAAGTTAACTTTCTACAAAATGAATTATTATTTGAAATTAAAAATATTTTCAAAATAAAACCTTGAATTTAATAAACTTATTCAAAGTTCATCATTACTATTCATTTAGTACTTTGTCAATCTTATTGTTTGCAGAGATTAGATGTCGACAAGACTACATAAAAGAATCATTCAAATAGTACATGACTTTTTAATGATTAACGGTTTCTCATGCAATGGACATAAATATGTTTTCCATCAAGATGCTTTTCAAGGTTATCTTATAAAAATAAATTTCATACATTCGAAGAAACGCGACTTGAATTACGAAACTTTTGGTAGTTAGAGCAAGAAAACAATAGCATCAAATGATATTCTTTCTTAGTCTTTATTCTGACAAATCTTAGGTTTAATTAGGATTGCCAGCTCTGGATTATAATACATTGAAAGTGACGCTACTTTCAATCAGTTGTACTTTCAGAACTGTCACTCCTGGTTTCGGTGTATCTCTGCCAGCATAATAACGAGATTGATATAAAAATTTATTTTACATCAGAACAACTTTTTAGTTTCCTTATGTCTTCATAAGTTTTATATAGATAAAGGTTGAATAACATTTAGCTCATGATGAAAATAATATCTGATTTCATATTCTAATCCGTAGATTCTTCATATCGTTTTAATTTTAACTTCTCCTCTTCAAAAAGGTCAATTTTTGTCAGAATTATTGGAATTAAGATAAATGTACGGGAGAATAATTAAAGAATTAATCTTTGTTACTATTTTATAAAAGAATACTTTTTATGATTAGAGCAGCATGTTTTTTTTTTGAGAATTCTTCGAGACATTGAAGTTTTCTCTCATTGAAATTTATAAATTTATTGTATATTGTCAAAGGGTCTAAAATAATCTGTTTAGAAAAATTTTAAATGCATGAATATATTAGAATGATAACAAATTTTATAGTTGAAACTTGCTCTGTAAAATTTTATCATTTTGAAAATGTTTGCATTTAGAATTCTTATTCTAACTATTTATTAGATTCATTTAATATTTTTATACTGAAAAAACTTATTTGTCTTGTCTGATACATCTTCAATACATAATTTCTTTGCTCCTATTCATTAAATATACCATGTATGCTACAGATAACAACAAACATAACTTAATCTTCGCTTCGACGGTTCAACCATCATATTAGCCTGCTATATATATTGATTTAATTGTTCACGAAGCTTCCGATCATACAATTCATTTTCTCAAAGAACTATGACACAAATTATTGAGTTTCGCGTAAACCTAGAATTCAATTAGTTTATACTTTTTTATGTTCGTCCTATTCTGACTCTGCTAGATTAATGGTAACATTGTCCTACTGATTGGCACCTATAATACGATTCTTTCGCTACATTAAATATTAAAACTCGCAATATTTAGACTATACAGTAATTAATGACCCGTCTTTTCCCATGGTTGAAAAAGGTACCCAATCATCGTTAGTCTTGCATCACCCTTCATATGAAATTTTCTCCTTCCAATCCTGGTTGCTCGGACATATTCAAAAGTCGTAAATACCTCGATTCTCTGAAAATATTTAAGACTAACCAAAAGTTCTCATAACATTACCAGTAAATTTAATAAGCGAGTTAACATGGAAGTGTTTTTTGCATGAATACAATGTAGAATGCCTTAATCTATAATTCTGTATATATATAACATCTCATTTTTTGTTTAGTTCTAATCTCCTTTTAGGTATAACCCGATTTCTATTTAAAAAAAAACTTTTAGAAAATGAATGATGAAATCCATAGACACGAAGAACTTGCAACAATGTTAGAACCTTATGCTCCATCATATCCAACATTTGCAATGTGGGCAAAGCGGTTTCATGAAGAAAGAGAAGATGTTCATGATGACTATTGATTTTGATTGTCCAGTTTCCGAGCTTATAGATACTTTGTTTTGTATATTGTTTAAAGCAAATGATGCTGTTCTTATACATAATGTAAATAAAGCCGTGACTATAAATTACAATTATTATATTGAACATTGCCTCAAGTCGGTAGTCAATGAAATATGGAAACAAAGAAAGTCATCAGCAGACTTTCAGAATCCACTCGTCTGCACCTACGCACGTGTAGAAATATTTTTGAAAAACATTTGTTATAGAAAATTTTTTCCATGTACGAGAAATTAAAGGAAAAGTATTTCTTTAGTGAAAAATAAAACATGAAGTTCGTGCACAGATTGTATGGTTTATTGACCAATAGAAATTAGTGCCAGTATTGTTTTTTTGTTTCCGTTATTATTCAATATAGGCTTCTTCCAACATATTTATGTCTGAGATTATTTGTGCTAAACATTTCTGAAATAAGTAAGTTTTAGGATTATCACAATTATTCAATGAGTGTTAAAACTGAATTGTTTTTTATATAAAAATTTTTAGAATAAAGTAGTTTCATTTCGTTCTTGGTTTCTTCATACATATATGTTCAAAATAATGCATATTCTTATTATTTTGACAGCGAGACAAACTTTTGAAGGAGTTTTCTTCATGGGAGGAAACTCTTCAGTTTAGTAGAATATTCTTCACTTGTGGTCATCAGGCACAAAAGATATAAATTTACTTCACGACAATACTCGAAGTTATATGCACCTAGATGTTATTAATTACTTGATACGAGAAGGCATCGAAATAATATCACATCTATCATTTTCTTAGATCTTGCATCATATAACTTTTGGTTCAATGATTATATTTAGCATAACTTAACTGATCAAACGAATGAAACATCATTAGTTCGAGCAGTTTCTAAGATAGTTAAAAATATTCCAGAAGAAGAGTAAGAAAAATTATATGACTGAAAATTTCATACGATTTGAAAATATCTGGATCAAGATCAATTTTTCAAGGGGGGATGCTTAAGCGTTCATTTTCTTTTCTTCAGTTGGAAATGGTTAATCATCGTCAAAAAATCAGTGCAAAGAGAAACTAGTACTCTCAGTGTCCAACCATTTATTATTTAGTAAAATAAATTTTATTTCTCTCCATCATAACATTTCTTTCAAACTAACTGATTATTTATTCAACAGATATAAGCTTACTTTTTTTTTATTTAATTTTCTGCTGCAAATATATATCTATAATACGTTTTCTCGCAAGTATCAGAAATTATCAGTGAGTCACTATTCATATTTCATGCTTTCATTAGACTTATAATCTTTTTATTTTCAGAAAATGCGTTTTACCGTTACAATATTTACTCTTAGTAAATTAGTTGTAAACATTGATTATTAAGAATTATCTTCAAGTCTTTAAAGTGAATGTTAAAGATAGATATATGGTATTCTTTACATTCTAAGTTCTCAAGGGAATATATTTGTGAAGTTCGTTCACGTACTCTCACATCGCTATACATTCGATTCGCTGAAATCTGAGAATTAAAAAGTCTTTACCTTTCTTATTAAGAATGACGAAATGCGGTAGGAAATGATCGAATTTTTGAGGATGTAGGTGTGGATGTTGCTGAAGAGAATGATCACACTAGATGATTACAATCGAAAGAGCTTTTATTTTGCTTACTGACACTGGTACAAATCTGAATCGATCATGCTGTATCGAATCAGTAAGAGTCATTTTTCACTGTTCTCATCGTATAACAGTCAAATCAATCTCTTTATTAGTCATATACACCTCTGAGTCGCTACAGAAATTACGTTAGGCGCCTGTCTTATTCGTATATTGGTTTTGTAAAACATGACTGTTAATAAGTATTGAAGTATATAGCAAGAAAACTGAACCCGTCTCACCCAGCTATCTCCAAAGATTCTAACATACATGCGAAGGTTTTTTAACCTACCGACAGATTGCATTCTTATTCTAGGCACAATGGTAGATCATTTTACGGATTTTTTTTAAAGATATAGTAATTTTGATAGTTGTCCAGCATCTGATGAGAAAAATAGAATAATCCGATTCAGTTCAATTTTCTTTTCTTTTCTTTATTTAGTTATTACGATAAGGACTCTTTGAAAATAACCTGATCATGTTTTGGTCACTTTTCGACTTCTTTTCTTCCTGTCAATTAACGAAATCTATTCAGTACCTCTGAAGAATTTTTTCACACGAAATAATTACACTCTGCGACAAATGTTCAAGTAGTACAATTGTTTCGGATTTTCTATGGTAAACTAGATTAATTCATGAGATTCTCAAGGTGCATAGGATTGACTGTTGATAGATCTGATTTGAAATTTTAAGAATCATCGTCAAATTATACAGCAAAAACACAACTGTCGTAATTTCGCGTTTTATGGCGTGTGATATACTTCTCACTTTCTTGGATAACATAACATAGGGTTGATAAACAAGGCATCTCTTGTTATTGTTAATGTTAAACTCTTTCTTTTGCGACATGGAACCAACTGACTCTTGAAATATCGATTATCTAAAATAATGGTATTAAAACTAGAAAGAAAGGAGAACCGCACTTTGGCTTAATTCATATCTAAGGCATCTATCTCGAATCACTGTGGTTCTTTAATATAGAGTAACGTTAATAATTTGATCATCTGTCTTACATTCTTGATGTCTCGCGGTAATCAAACGCAACATATCAGAAGTTATTCTAAACTCTTCTTCATCACATAATTCATGAATCATCCATCATTCTCCAGCATGTCATCACAAAAGCCGAATAGATAATTTAGATTGATTTTTTTTTCCTTCTTCATTTAGATATCCTTGCAGTTTTTAATAATATTATACGAGAAACTGGATGAGTTACTTTAGTTAACTTTTCTTCTTCTTCTTCTTTTTGTAGTCATCTCGAGAGTTATGGCGTGTTTTATTCAACAAAACCACTAAGTCAGTTTACTATTCTTTTTCTCTAATACTTATGGCAATTGTTTTCCTGCGTGTTACAAGTGAAAGTGACAAAGGTAGTTTGTTTCATTTTTTTCTTTCTTTATTAAGTTTTTCCGATTGTTGGCATGCACTTTGTGAGATTTAATGTTTTTGTCTTTTATTAGGTAATCAGATTATTGCACACCATTCCACTAGAAAATTCAAATAAGTTAGCGTAGTTCAATTTTTTTCCGTTAAAGTCATAGTTATTCAAGATCTTACGAAAGAAATCATAAGAAGCAGCTCGGATTAGTTCCTTATTCTGTATTTACTTCTGCTCATAGTTGATGAGTGTCTCTGATGAACAAAACGAAAATAAGTTCCTTTACGTTTATTTTACTTCCTTCATTCGCTTTTCAAATTGTTAATAAACTTTTTATAGACGAAATTATGTTGATATAATTCATTTTACTGCTATTTTTCTTGATTCAATTATCATGATAATTTTCCACAATCTTTGAAGGAGAATCGATTAACTTATTTTACTATAATTGTCTTTATTTTGATTGATTTCCGCTGATATTTGAGGAGCGCTTTATGACCATAAACTAAAGAAAATAATTTACTCATCTCTTTTCTCGTCATTCAGATCTTTTTATACTTTCTTGTAACATCATTCGATCCACACAAAGCCAGTATATCTAGATTACTTCATTCACGAGCTATAAAGATTTTTCTGAGATTCATGATTTCCGTCGATTGACTTAGGGTCATCCGAAAATTAGTGTGAACAGGAGGTAATTTGTTATGCTGAGTCTAGTGATGATGTTCTTTTATTATCTCAGAGCTATGAAAAACCAATATATCGAAGTTTCAGACATATCGGTTGTTTATACAGTATAGCCAGGAAAATTTGAAACCTCAAAAATCTTCAAATTGTTTTGAAATCACTTTAAAACTAAACACAAACATCAGCACTAGGCTTAGCATGATAAATTAACTTTGTTCATACCAATTTTTGCAAGACTTCACGCCAATGGGCCAAAGTCCAGTATGTCAGTTTTGGGTAGGTCGAACAAGTTCAATGTTTTCTTACAAACATTCATGTCAAAACTCAAATTGAAATATGCAATGCATTTGGAATATTCTTTTGTCTTCACTCAAATGATTAAAATCGTAGATCTCTATCTTCTTCTAAGCAAACATTTTTCGAAAAGTAGACACGACTATCGTATTATTGGGCAGACAGGTGAAGAATAACTTCTGAAAATGTCATGATAAATTGATGAAAAATTTTCATCGTCTCTTCACTTCTGTTGTAGCAGATCCTGAAAGTTTCATTGGATTTTAATGTACCCAAGCTCGAATCAATTATACAGTGAAGGAGCCCCATAATAACAGAAAAAAATAACACAACATAAAACTTTCATAGAAAAACGAATCTGAAAGAAAGAAAATGTTTTTATTTTTATTTGGAATGAAATAAAACTTCGAAAAAAAGTTGTCTATTCGTAAAATTAATATACCTCAGCATTATAATCAATACTATTATTAATACAAAAGGAATTTAATGGTTTTTTTTGTTAATAAATTTTCCTGATAAATTTATAGTTGACACAAAGAAACCATCCCACCAAAAAATTTTAATATTTCGCTGGTAATACATTTTTTTCAAAATAACCAGGATTTATTATATTTCCTGCTGGATAATAATTTGCAACTATATAAACTTCTCGTTCATCAGCTGATAGAGCAACTCCAATGCCTATTTTTTGTGTTGATTTCCATACCATTTGTGTAAAATGTCCTGTTTCTTCGGAATAATAGGGACGTTTAAAGCTGTATAATTCAATTTCATCATACCAACTTTTTGTTGCTTCTCTTGCACTAACTGGAACTTTACCATGAGAAATCCATTGCATATAAAGATTTTCTCCTAAAGATTCATTTTCAAATCTATTTCCACTATGTTCAAATTTTGATGTTGCTGCTAAATATTCTGCATATTTTTGAGCTATATAATTTAATCGTTGACTAATTGTTAATGGTGATGCTGAATGACGTGCACGATAATAATTATGTAATTGTACCATATTAGAAACAAATTTTGAATACGTTATTTTCCGTGATTTGGCTTGATCTTTAATTAGAAAAAGCAAAGAAAAAAGAAAAGCATGTTTATTGAATAAAAAATATACATAAACGTACGGTGTTCATGTTTTCGAGGATGTTTTAATGCTAAATCAGCATGAAGTTTTGATGGACGTTCATATCGATGTCGACCTTTACGAACAACTTTTTTATCATTATCATGATCTTGTATAGATAAACGATCAACTATTTTAAGCAATATTTTATCCCTATCAAAAAAAAGGATTTTTAACCTTGAAAAAAAAAATATTATATTTGATATTTACATTTGAAGTTATCGATCAGAGGAAGTGTAAAAATATTTTATTCGTTTCTCTTTTATGTACAGTATCAAACACCTTTACAATATGATGTTTATATAGTTTACCTATTCTGTCGTTACATGACATGACGTCTCGTTGTTTCGACGCATGACTTGGATAAGTACAAAATGAATCATACTAATGAGATATAAACTATTCATACAATCCTCTTTCGATAATGTAGAAAAAAAAACAAATCGCCGTAAATGTTGACGAGAATATACAAAAAAAAAAAGAGAAGTGCAATGGATAAAATAATTCTATAAAGATTCATAATAAGGAATAATCACATGATTTACATTTGAAGCTTTCAATACTTCTTAAACAATTCATGTAATGATTTCAACTATATAATCTATATATTTATACTCAAAAATATGAAGTCAAATGACACTTAATAATAGGCAATACAGTTTCATCTGATCCACTACAATCACAGTGCGAATGAAAAAAATATATGTTGTTAGAAAAATATAGAATTATTAACATCATTTTTGAAAGTACAGATAAACTTATGCTATCAAATATTTATAGTTGGCATAATAGTCATTCCCAAAACAGTGGTTCCATCACATTGACCATGGATGACAGCAACACGTGATGATCTAACCAAACAATGACATTTCATTGTTCGTAAAAGAGAAACAATTTTGCTACGTAAATGACGAACTGATCCAAGACAAACAAATGGTAGAAATAATGTCAAAAAATAATACAAATAAAACAAATATAAATTACGTTCTGTTGCTGCAAATGTTTTGGAAAGAAAAACTTGAATACCAATAACAATAAATGGTGGAGCATTCATAATAATATATAGGCAAGCAATTGAAAGTAATTGCACAACCATTCGACGCTGTTTTCGTCTAGAAAAAGTTTGTCCTTGTATACGACGTTTATGTCGAACGACTCGAATTAATAATGCAAAACTAAATGCAACAATTATTATACATGGTAATACACTATGTATAAACATATCATAAGCATTGAGAAGAAATGTCGTACGTTTAAAACATGGTGAACCACAAAGAACTTGTTGATAATCAAATATTTGATCACATGGATAAAAAAATATTGTATAAATATAGAAAATAAATGGATAAACTAAACAAATTATAATAGGAATATAATGACCATAGAATTTTTGACGTGATAATCGAAAATATTGTGAAGCAAAAACAAGTATATGACGTTCAATAGATGCCCATGTCATAAGAAGCATTCCATTAGCATATAATACATAATCAATATACATCCAAAAGTAACAAAAAGATGATGATGATACATGAACAATTCCGTCTTGTAAAAAGTTCAATGTTATTGAAAGATCAGTTATAACACTGAAAAAACAAACAATAAGCATAACTATAACAACATGATTAGCTAACAAATGACGTTGTGTTCGAGATATGAACATATGATGTAAAACGAAAATAGAACAGAATATAGATGGTGTTTGAAGAATCAATAAAATCCAAAATTTAATTGAACGTGTCAATGATGTTTCATATATTGATATTGATGACATATTGTTATTCAATAATGATAACCAAGAACTTTTTTGTTTTGTTTCTTTCGAAAATAATCAACAAAAATGAACGTCTAAATAGTTTAGCTCAAATATAGAAAATTTGTACTTCATTTTTTTGAGTTGCAACTTTTTTTGACAACTAGGATCAAATCAGAATGTCTGATTTTAGAAATATCATTCTTAGAGCTCAGGAGAAGGAAAATATTAGATGCACCATGAAAAAAACATGTTTTTTCAAAAGTGGCACTTTTTTTGAAGGCTGCTGAGTTCTGTAGGAACAATATTATGAAGAAAAAGAATTCAAGTCTGGTTGAACGTACTGTATGAGGGAAAATTGTGTCTTTTTGTTGAAAATTTGATTTTGAGAAAAACGCAAAACAAACTTTCATATATGCATCACGACTTTTACTCTAACTGAAGTAATTAAAAATTGGTCGTATACAACGATGCTAGATCTATGACCCATGTTCTCAACGCTTTTAGCATGACAGTGCAAGTTGGCTTTAAGAAAAGTATTGACTAACAACGAAAAGCTCTCATTTATATGACATTTGATGCAGGGCACTTCGAAGCTATACCAAAACTTGTTAAAATTTTGATTTTAATATCTGGAAAGGTGAGACCTGCTTAAGCGCTTATTTTGTTTGGAAGTAAAAAATCAAGTTATTTTAACTTAGATTATACTCAGTGTTTCACTTACTGTAATAACTGAAAGAGTAGTGCCTATCTCGAAGATTGGTTTGGCTCTCCCGCAATTTTAAATCAGTCTTCCAAAAAGAGAAAAATCGAATAAAATACTGTTAAATTCACTGAAATTTTCACATGGGAAATGATAGTTATGCAATATTTTATACTTTGTTTACATCTGTTAATATATTGATGATTCTCTGACAACATTTTTGTAGACAAATAACATTAAATATGTAGGTGACGAAGGATGAAATCGAATCTCTCTGAATGCAATTTATTACAGAGTGTTCGTCTAAGAAAACAAAATGTATATTACTACCTACGTATCAAATCCTTCAAGTGAAGTTATATGAATGCTTCTATTAAAAATCATTCATGCTAAATATATTATTCTTGACACAATGTTCTGTTTTAATAATTCAAAGAAAAATGCTCATTTATAAATAATGATTCGAGACAGTTCATAATATTTATTTTGACAGCGTGAAGATTTTAACATAAAGAAATTAAATAAGACATTTAAAAACCAAGTAACACAATGTCTGCGAGAGAATATAAAGTGAAACACGATGCATTCATTTAATAGCTACTGGGAAACTATGATCGATATACCGATTGGTATGATATGTGCTACATCAGCAATTTTTTTGAAAATGTTGCGTCATAGTGTATTGTGAAAAACATAAATATTTTTGAAGCCTGATGAAAAAAAGACAGAGTTTTGTCGATTTCACCGTTACTCTGGTAATGTTGCTATGTCTGAACTGCACGTAATAATTACAGAGCTTAAACAGATCTTAGTCATCAGATAAATTTTTATTATATATATTGCTGCAACAAAGAATTTATTAATGAAAATATACTCTGATATTGGTTTTTCTTGATGAATTTAAATTCTTTCTAATATAAAAGATTCACTATAAAAGAGCAGTGCTCCGTCTCTATTATCTTCTAATGATATTAAAATACTCATGAATGTATGCTTGATAACATGCTTCCGAGATAAAAGGTTGCTTTTATTCTTAGAAGTACAACGAAGAAGTTTCAATTTAATTTAATCAAGTTTTGGATTTAATAGTTTTCTTTTAATATAAATTGATCGTCTTTATCAATTTGTATTCAACAGTTTTTATTGAAATTTAAAAAGTTCTTTGATTAAGACTCAGCTGAATATGACAGTATCAAAAGAATGAGATCCAGCAGTTCGAATTTCATGATAGTTGTTAAATCAAATGAATTCAAGTGAAAACCAATATAGATTAGATAAAGATGCATTAAATTCTTATTTAACACCATACAATCTTGCACGTTCTGGTAAAATACTTTCAAATAATAAAGATAATTGGATAAGATTAAAAAAACCTCTTCTTTTATTTCAACACAAATTTTAAGAAGTGTTTCTTTTTTTCAAGACACTTTCTGAATTAAATCTAATTTATTTATGTTTACCTTTTCACAGGCATCAGTAAAATTCACATACTGATTGAAATGAACAAAATATCGGTGCACGATTCTATTACAATTCAACGTCAGTCTCTTCAAGTGAATACATAGTTACAACGTACACCAGAAAATGAAAATCGTTTATATTTAAACTGAAAAGCAGCAGACATATGGTTTTGTAGTGTATACTCACTTTTTGATGATTTTAATATGTTCTAATATGCTTTTCATGTAATATATATACCTGCTATTGGAGAAACCGCAATACAAGGGAAATAGAAGAATTCAACATGCCTTTATAAGTCAATGACTTCGGCATTCTAGACATCTATGAAAATGAAGGAATTGAACGAAACTAAAGAATTAATTTGAGCAAAGCGTGTGGACTTTATTCAGACTCGATGGGTTGATATGAGTAACAGGTAAAATGGCATTGGACATCTGTTTTCATACCGAATTTCAAACATACTCTTACACCAATCTAAACCCATGTGTACCTCTTCGTTTTCGCTAGAATCATTCCTAAAATTCCATCTCAGTCCTGATGAGACTTTCGCAAGATCTTGACAAGATAGTCTCAAGGTTTCATTGAAGAAATTGTTGTTATTACATTTTTGTTAAGAATCTTCAAATTATCTAGTTAACTTTTTAATTAATTTGTTGCATTATTATTAAAAAATTGTGCATCTTCTTCTTGTTTATTCTTTTTCAGAGGAATTGTATTAGAAATTTCAATTGAATCAAATTCATAGTCTTACAACAAATGTATTAACATACACGAACAACAACAATGATAATTAGTTTCATTTAATCGTTTCTTTTCTTTTTACTTTTAATATACATATGATGATAAAAATTAATTCAGAGAAATATTTATTCAACCTAATCAGATTTAACACGTGTATATTTTTTATCATTATGTGTACTTTATTTTGCTATATTATTGTTGAATAGAAGCATACAGTACAATCTCGCTTAAGGAATACCGCCATAAATTCACATATATCAAAACCAAATCATTAATACAGAACTTTGTAACACTAAACTAAGGTTTAAAAATCTATAAAAAGTTTTTAGAATTCATAAATATATTCAAATGAAGAAAAATGAACAGAACAGAGAATGGTCTCTGATCATTTCAAAATTAGTAAAGAAGTTTAACTTCTGAAACATATTTTTTTCATTTCTCAGTGAAATTTTTAACATTTCCCATAGATGAGTATCTCTCAAAAGTTTACATTCTACAAAAATCTCGATGGTATTCATTTAAGAGAATTTTTACGAAATGTTTCTCATTATAAGATGGAAATAGTTATATTTTTGCCTTTTTTTTAATAGATTAGTCCTTGGCTATGATAGCACTTTGTTATCTAGAACAAGATATCAACAGATACTTTATTAATGAAAACAAAGTACTTATTTGTATTTTGTGAAGTACAATCTAAAAGGAGTGTTGAAGTATAGGAATAGAAATTTGGATCCCGCCTCTTCCATAAATCGAGGCAGACTTAACCATGAAAGCATCATAGATCGCAACAGATGCCTTAGTAATACTCTTCTCTCCTACGTCACAGGTTGTGACAGACGTTGATATACGATCACAGACAGTATATCAATAATGTCTCCTTATAACCAATGAATTACTTCCTTAATGCATTTCTGAAGAATTAAAAGGATAGTGAAGAAATGTCCCAGAATAGATAAAATAAACCCATGCCCTTATGATTAGCAACAGCAGCTGCACTCTGCTTCACATTTTAATCCTGGAGAAACCCCACTGATAACTTTAGTGTTAGACTGGAAACTCGGCTCTTACGGTATTCAATTGATGTATTTTAAAACCCTTCAATAGTTATCAGTGCTAATGAAGACAAACTCTATGTCTATTTAAATCAGCTGTCATCTAAAATGCATAAGATTCTGAAGTAACCAATTTCATTTTATATTCAGTATGTATTTTCGCTATCTTTTTGATGAGATAAATGTTGTTTCTAATACAAAATATCAGTGAATTCAATCACATATTGACTTTAAAACAAATATCAAATTGAGTTCTTTCAAATATAAATATATTTTATTTTCTTAACAGCATTTATTCTTCAACATATGCAAAAAAAAACAAGAATGTTATTCGATAGAGGGCACTAGTATTTATTTGTAAGCTAATAAACCACTCCAAAGAAAAAACTAATCGACCTGAATAATGGCGAATAGAATGAGTCATTCAATCAAAAAAAAAAAAAAAAAATATTCATTCAATAGTATAAACGACTGTTACTACTGATTGTTCTATTTCTATTTTAGTCGCCAGCTGTTGTATTTATTCTTTTGATTTTTTTTCTTCTTCTTTTAGATATTCTATTCATTTTGTTTAATAGTGAAAAGAACAAAGTTCAATGGCAGCCGATGAATGTAATATTCGAGTTGTTGCTCGTTTTCGTCCATTGAACGATGCTGAGGAACGTGCTGGTAGTAAAAGTGTTGTTAAATTTCCAGCTGATCAAGAAGAAACTGTTCTGATTAGTGTATGTTTTTTTTTATATAATTCAATTTTATTATTAGAATACTCATTGAGTTTTTTTTTTCTAGGGAAAAGTTTATATATTTGATAAAGTATTTCGTCCTGATGCAACACAAGAAAAAGTTTATAATGAAGCTGCTAAAGAAATTGTAAAAGATGTACTTACTGGTTACAATGGTACTATATTTGCCTATGGACAAACATCAAGTGGAAAAACGCATACAATGGAGGTGATATAATTTCTATTTTGTTTTGTTTTTTTTTTTCTTCTAACTCGATTCATTTGTTTCGTTTTTGATTAGGGTGTGATGAATAGTAATGATCATCAGGGTATTATTCCACG